TCCACTGGTCAGTCTATGCCTACTGTACTATATCATTTCCTACTCCACCCTGGTCAGTCTATGCCTACTGTCCTGTAGTATTTCCTACTCCACTTTGGTCAGTCTATGCCTACTGTCCTGTAGTATTTCCTACTCCACCCTGGTCAGTTTATGCCTACTGTCCTGTAGTATTTCCTACTCCACTCTGCCCTGTAAGGACCAGGTACTAAGGTGGGCTCTCTCCAGGGCACCCATAGGACAGGGTCCTGACCTTCAGACGCAGCGGCAGGTCCTCGGGGCTCTTCCCGGCTAGTTCCTCATCCTCATCCTCGTCCTCACCCGGCAGGCACATGTCACTGGGGATGATACCCCTGGCATATTTCTTGGTGATCTCCACAAAGTCGTCCAGTGTGATGTAGGTTTTGGCTGCGGCACATGAGAAAGAACACGGGTCTACCGGGGCCCTGAGAGCAGGGACACATGGGAGCGTGCTCGGTACATGGTGGGGTAGGTACCCAGGAAGGTAGAGGGGACCAGGTTGCAGGGAGAAGAGGTGGCTGAGAGCCCTCAGGTTGCTACCCCCGTGCCCTCTCCTGCCCTGCTGTCTCTGCAGCTAGTATGATGACCCCTGAGTATGCTGTGGTCCTGGGTTTGCTCATGTGGACAACCCCAAGCCTCCTTATCCCCCATCATGATTTCCTAATTCCTAAGGTTCCCCTGTACCCAGAACCCAGACCACGATGAGTTATCCTAAACGGACCACACCCAAAACCCCGTCTGATGTCCTTGTAGGAACCCAGACCTGGGCACAGGGAGGAATGGACGGGGTTGAAAAGGTGGTGGTGGGGGGGTGCCACAGTAGGTCTGTGGGAGCTGGGAAGGTGGGCAGGGTCCACAACAGGGCTGAAGAGTTGGCAAGATTTGGGGCCCACATCAGGTCTGGGGGGTGTGGGAATTTGGGGGGGTACCACAGTACCTCTGTCGGGATGGGAAAGTAGGAGGGGCTTCAACTGGTTTGAGGGGGGTGGGAAGATGGGGGTCTTCACAGCATGTCTTAGGGGAAGGGCTGGGGGGGTGTTGCAGGCTGATGGGTGGAGTCCAGCAGGCAGGCGAGTCCATACTCACATTCTCTGCTGACCATGCGCTCCAGCATCCGTCTCTGCCTCTGCAGGGACTTGGGGACAGGGCCTGGCTGCGCACTTCCATCTGCAGGGCCAGAGCAGATGAGACCCGGGTGGTTGTCCCCCCACACCCCCTTCCCCCAGCCCTCTGCTTTGCGCAGCCCACTCACCATGCCCGTCGACCTGGCTCACGTTCTCCAAGAGCTCCGACACGGCCACCTGCTTCTCCTTTTTGGGGTTGAGTCTCCAGTACATGGTGCGGGCCAGCCTGCGTACCACCCGCTCCAGCTCGGTCTCTGAGGCTAGCTCCTGCACTTGCTGCTCGTTCTCTGAGGTGATGCCTGGGGTGGTGGGGACGCCTGGCTGTGACACCCAAGCCCTGGCCCACACAGGGCCACCAGGACCCTTTCCTGAGGCCCCCTCAGAGCACACGCCCTCCCACCCGCTCCCCCACAGCATCTGAGCAGTTCTTGATCCCAGCGCTCTGCTCAGACTGTACAGTCGGCCCTGGGGGGTGACCGCTGGCCTCAGCCCACAGCACACTTCACTGGCTCTCGGACTCTGCGCTCGGCTCTGAACCCACAGCCTCCACAACAGAACGGATGCCCAAGGCTGAGGACCAGGGCTTGGATGTACTGACCACGGGACGGGGCACGTGTAGAGGGTATCACGGTGTTCCCGGTGGTCACCGTCTCAGCCGGGCACGCCCACCTTTCCTGTCCGCCAGGCACCGGCACAGAAGCCGGACAGCCTCACGTCGGCCCTGCTTCGCGGCGAGGACCAGCCAGCCCACAGCCGTGCAGTTGTTGAGCTCCTCGTCCGCCTCGCTGCCCAGCCGCAGGTAGTGTCTCCCCACCTGCAGGAAGTGTGCCGTGCTGAGGGCCCGCCATATGGGTCACTGCAGGTCTGCTCCAGTCATGTCTCACCCAGCAGCCTGGGCCGCCCTGCACGCACCAGCCACGCTGCTCTGCGCTAGAGCCCACTCCCTGGGTGGTCACGTGGCCAGAGCCAGACCCTGGCTCTCTCTTGTCCCTGTGACCCATTTTATCTACTGAGGTGCCTGGCTCAGTGGGGCATCTGCAGGGTGGGAGAGGGCGTGGTGCCAAGTGTGAGTATGAGGGGGTGCCAGGTGCTGGCATGAGGGGCATGCCGGGCGCAGGTGTGAGGATTGGGGCACCAGGCATGCGTGGGTATGAGGGGGTGCCAAGCCAATCGGGTATCTTGTCCTGTGTGTCCCCCCCCAGGTGCCGAACACATGGAACACGGGACCTTCACCAGGACTCAGGGACTTGCCCTGTGTGCTGTCCCCCGCATAGGGCCTGCGGCTCCCTCCCACTAGATGAGACCCACATCCAGGGAGGGGGTGCAGCATGACTCCCAGGCCTCCCGCCCCTCACCTCTGTCTGTGCCTTGGGGTCACCGGCCTTGGCTTTCTCCAGGACTTCCTCAAAGGGGAGCGCCATGTCTTCCTTCACAGGCTCTGAAACAGACATCACATGAGACCCCTCATCCCCAAGGCCCGGCTTTTGGGCATGAGGCCCCGTTTGGAAACTGCAGACGTTACGGGGGAACACACGAGGTCACGCTGGCGCAGGGAGGTCATGACCTGAACCACGCCGTGGGAGGGGGAACAGACACACAGACAGAAGGGAGGCAGGTGCTGATGAGGGAGGCAGTGACAGGGATGTCCAAGGTTACGGGGACTGTGCCACGCCGTGGTGGGAGTGGTGGGGACGGGTCGCTCCTGGAAGCCAGGGAGAAAAGAGCAGGCACTCTGGTCTTGGTGTCTGTGAGAGGAACTTCAGGCCCAGGGGAGGGGATGCTTGAGGCTTGAAATGCAAGTCCTGGCCCTGACCTTCAAGGCTTGTTCCTTCCCCCAAGGGGGTCCCTTCCCTGCCAGCACACACACCCTGTCCCTCAACTTCTCCCCCCTGCCCACCGCTGCACCCAGCTGACTCCTGGAGCTCTCCATGGTGCTGTTAGGTGGGCCTGAAGACCCAAGGCTTGTGCTGGCCGCTGGTTCCTCCCAGGTCAGCCATACTGGGCTCCACGGCCGGGAGACGGGCACTTTCTGCCAGCAGTGTCAGGTGGCTCCTGTCCACAGCCTTCATCAAGGCCAGGTTGCCAGGTCCCATGCGGGTAAAAAGTGGGGTTGGCCCAGGGTCCCAGTGTGTGCACAGGGGCACCCATCCGGGCTGGGCTCATTCCCAGATTTAACACCTGGTTCTGCACCCTCGCCTCCACCCTGGGGGCCACAGAGCCACGGCGGGGTGAGAGTGGAAGGGAAGGGTCCTGGGTCAGCCCTACACGCGGCCAAGTCTACCTTAGACCCGCAGCTGAGTCCACTCAGATTCATAAGGAACCTACAGACAGTAAATCACCGTTCGGCCAAGGAGCACTTGGTGGGTTTGAACTGCCGACCTTGTGATTTGGAGTTCAGTGCTTAACCCACAGTGTCACTAAGACTCCTTAAATACACCTGAGAACTGGGTTTTTCAGGACTCAGGAGGCCCCAAAATGGACTAGGGGGGCTCTGTGAGCTGGTGTGGGTACATGTGGGCCACAGCTCTACAGGGTGGGTCCTCAGGTGGCCCTGGACTGGACCAGGTGGACGTCAGGGCAGCCCGACAATCAATACAACAGATACAAGGACTTGGACCAGCGCTCACGGAGCCGACAAGAACCCCCTGCAGAGACCACCCAGGATCCTGCCTCCAAGGAACCTCTACCTGGGGGTCACCTACCCTCACCTGAGCTCTGGGTGTGCCGGGCTGGGCCAGATGCTGCGGGTCCTGTGTTGTGGGCTTGGGGCTCCTCGCTCCTCTCCTGCTCCAGTGAGGCCGTAGCATTGAGCCGGGCTCGGGGTCGGACCTGGGGCTGAGGGTGGGAGATGTTCAGCGGAGGAGGGGTGCCGGGATCCATGATGCCTGCAAGAAAAACACCTGTCAGACACGATGCAGGGCCACCAGAAATGGGTAGGGAGTGCCAACAATTGTGGCCCACCTCACCACAGCCCCCAAATCAGAGAAGGGGCAGAGGGGGGCGGGGGGCTAATCCCATCTCACCATGTCCCCTACAATAGAGCAGGTGCAGAGGAGGGCTGCTGATGCCCGGATCCCACCTCACTAGGGTCCCCCACAGCAGAGCAGGGAAGTGGGGGGGGGGAACGGCTGACCGCAGATTCCACATTACCGTAACTCCCCACAACAGACATGACCATTGAGGTAGCTAAGGTGACCTCACAGCTGTCACGAGCAGACCCTGCCATCTGAGGCCCGTTACACCTGTGACCTGGGTCCTCAGGTGAGGGAGGGTCACCAGGCCTGGGACAGAAGACACTTACTAACCGTGTGTGTGCAAACATGGGGTGGGGGGACAGGTGAGAAAGAGGGAGCCCGCACAACCACTGGGGCCCTAACTTACACCAGGTCTGTCCAAGGCCTCCATCCCAGGCCTGAACTACAGGCCCGAGGCCCAGAACTTCAAGTCACCGAACATCACAATGCAAGGCGCTCGAAACCGAGTGTGCCGCAAGGGACCCAGAGGTGCAGACCCATGACTCGTGATGGAAACCAGCCACTAGGGGTTCCCTCCCAGGGAACCCATTTCAGCCTTGGAGCCTCCAGATTGAAGTTCAACATCAGGGCTTTAAGCCACATAGTCTGTGATCCTTTCGGACGAGAAACCGCTACAAGGTGAGGTGGGAGAGGCTAGTCTTCACTGGAAAGCAGGGACACACCCCAGACCGAAAGGTGCTACCCCATTTCCAGGGCCCACTGAGCACCCTCACACTCACATCAGTTGAGACTAGAAGCGAGGTCCCCTCAGGTACAGTTAAGGGGCAGCGTGGCTTGGGGTCCCCAGGGGCCAGCCCTACACGACCCAAGCTTGGCTCTGTCAAAACAGACAGGGCAGTCCATCTCCAGGGCTGGGTCCCATGGACCATCAGCATCCTACATGCTCACAGGCCTTGGGCAGCCTGGCCCCGAGGAGGAGGGGACCAGCTCCAAGGTGTGTCCCTTCAGCAGAACAAGAGGCCACCCTCCACGTCAGCCCACTGCAGCTCCTCTGAGCCGCCTACTGTGGCATCCTGTAAGGCCCAGAAAGCCCAGCCCTCGCATTCTTTCCTTGTGAGCACCGGGGTATTTTTATCCCATATGTGTTGGAGCCAGCACCCCGCTTAGCAGAAAGCGTTAGGTCCACTGGGACCAGAACAAAAGGACTCCAACGCTGGCTCAGAGCAGCTGCCTCTAACCCCAGAGGGAGCCCCAGGGCTCAGAGTCCCTTTGAGAGGCTGTCCATCACATGTCCCTCCTCAGCACATCTGGAGGACACAGCACCCCAGCCTGGACCTGTGTGTGAAGACCCAGACTGGAGGGCAGAAGGAAATGGCCCCACATGTGAACGCGGCTGTTCCTGGGTGGGCTCACTGACCTCATGTTTCCCCCTGGCTTTCTCTAATGAATGCAGTTTTGCACCATTAAAAAAAACTCCTTAACCTACTACTTTAAGTTATTTTAAAACCCATCTCTGCCACCAGCCCCTAAGTGATGAGATTCTGAGCCAGGGGTATCTGCCAGGCACATGACTACCACTGTAGATAGGGTATACACCTGTGGTTCTAGGTGCCTGCTTTTGCCTGGGAACACTAAGGGCCAATCCAAGAAGGCCCCACTCCATCCATGGTAGCAAATCCAAGGGAAGGATGGGGAGTTGGGTGGGGAATGCGAGCGAGTGCCATCTGGGGCCAGGACCGCCACATGAAAGTCTACCCTACACAGCATGTGTGGACCGATCGGTTCTCACGCAGACCCTGGGGAGCATCCTCAATCCAAGAAAAACATAGGCAGGCCCCAGGGACTCATCTGGGCCTGAGCAGACATGATGACACACAGACCAGGACTGGACAGAGCCCCGAGTCTTCCGAGGAGCTGGTAAGCGCTAAGGGGCTGCGAGTCCTCCAGCAGGGGGCGTCCAGGAGAGCGAGCGAGGTGCCCCGAGGAGGTGCAAGGCGGCGGCGCTGGGGGTGGAAGCGCAGGGAGGGAGAGCAGAGGCTGAGGGAGGCGGGAGGGACAGGGGGAGGAGGCCTGGACCTAGCCGGGTGTCCAGCGGCTCTGGGGTGGGGGCAGAATGTGACAGGTGGGGGGCCGAGGCAGCTGTGAAGGAAGCTGCTCAGGTCTCCTCCAGCCGTGGTTCTTCGCGTGGTCACATTCTGGGCCACGTCTGGTACTGTCCCCCCTAGGCAGGCCAGGTAGTCTGGAGTCCAGCACCAGCCCCCAAGGCCTGTCCAGCCAGGTCTGAGATGAAGACCCTGCACACACCATCCTGAGTCCTGCCCCTGAGCCGCCTTTCCTGGGTCCAGTCCAAGGCCCAATGTTGGGGATGTGGGACCCTCTCTCCAAACTCATGAGGCAGAGGAGAAGTGGCAGGACGGAGCGCAGAGCCAGGCGGGTGAGGGGTGGCCGTCGGCGGGGGCGGAATGCGGAGGTCAGCTCCTTGGAATGTCCCGGGAATGTCCCAACCAACAAACACCCTACGGACCGGGCAGAGGGCGCCGCGCGCGGGCTTACCCCAACCCCTGACCTCGTGGGTCCGCCCGCCCCGCGGAGAAGCGCCGTGACCGGGAAGCTTGGGTCCGACCCGATGGAGACGCCGGGCCTCAGTTTCCCTGCCCGCGCGGAGCACAAGGGGTGCCGGGAAAGCAGCCTAGTGGAGAGTCCCGCACAGGGAAACTGAGGCCGATGCTCCAGGCCCTTCCCCTCCACGCGTACCCACCTGCCCCAAGAGTCCCTGGGCCTCGGACCGCCGCAGAGACGCCAAGGAGACCCGAAATCTGGCCCCAGCGAAGAGGAGCCGCGGAGGCGAGGCCTGGGGGGGACGGGGCGGAGTGGCCGTCCTCCACTCACGGCGCGGCTCCGGGCACGCAGTCCCGCTATGCACGCTCAGCGGCTGCCGCGCCCGCCAATCACTGCGCGCTCCGCCAATACGGTGCGTCTCCCCTGCGCAGTCAGGGCGAGCGCGCCGGGGGCGGGGCCGAAAGTTTCCGAGCGAACTCGGCCCGGCCCCGCCCAGGCCTCGCCCACTGCATACGTTTCTGAGGACACTGCCCCGCCCCTCCCAGGCCCCGCCCCCAGGCCCCGCCCCAGCAAACGTTTCCCCGCGGAGACTTCCCGGCCCTGCCCATTCCCCCACCCACTGCGAACGATCTAGGTAGTCGCTCCAGGCCCCGCCCATTGCGAACGTTCTAGTGCGGACTCTCCAGGTCCCGCCCACTGCGAACGTTCTGATGCGTAAGCTCCAGGCCAGCCGTTAAGAACGTTTCAGAGCAGAGTGGGCCGCGCCCGTGCTCTGTAACGGGCGACCGAGCCTCCCTGCCTGGGTCGTCGGGTAGAAACAGGGTGGAGCGCTTAATGACTGAGTAGAGTACACATTGTTCCAGAGCTGACTTCCAGCCCTGACCACATGACCTCAGGGAATTCAGAAAGAATGATCTGCTCACCTCTATAGCACACTGATTGGAGACTATAGAAAAGTAGAATAAAAAAATCGCTCAACAACAATCACTGTCGGAGGAAAAGAGGAAATGACAATACTACTACTGTTGTTAGGTGCCGCTGAGTCGTTCTGACTCTTAGCAACCCTGTGTACACCCGTCCTGTACCAGCTTCACAATTGTTGCCACCTCGTTGAGCGTCTTCCTCTTTCACTGAGTCTCCATTGTCTCGAGCATAATGCCCTTCTCCAGGCATGAATCCCTCCTGACTACAGGTTCACACAATGAGAGCTGAGTCTTATCATCCTGGCTTCTAAGGAGCGTTCTGATTGGACCTCTAAAAAGACAAATTTGTTTGTTCTTCTGACAGGGTGCATTCAATATTCGTCATCAACAATATTTCAAATGAATTGTCTCTTCCAGTCTTCCTTATTCACTGTCCAATTTTCACATGCATATTGTTGTTGTTAAGTGCCATAGAGTTGGTCTAACCCACAGAGGCACTGTATAGGGTTTCCAAGGAGTGGTTGGTGAGTTTGAACTGCCAGCCTTGTGGTTCAAACTGACCTTGAGGTCCAGCGCATTATCATGCAGCGCCACACCAGGCCAGGCATATTGGGTGACTAAAAATACTAACACTTGGGTCAAGCACACCTTAGTCCTCAGACTGACATCTTGGCTCTTTAACCCTTTAAACCACCAGTGTTCTCTCAGTTTATGGTACTTTGTGTGTGCTGTGATTCTGGAAGCTATACCACAGGTGTTTTAGAGACCAGCAGGAGTACTCAGGGGGTACGGGTTTCAGTGGAGCTTACAGACTAACACAGACTAGGAAGAAGGAGAGATGGATCACTTTGGAATGCTTAGCCACGGGAAACTTTATGAAACGCAGTAACAACACTGTCAGACATCAGACTGGAAGATGAGCCCTTCGAGTTGAAAGGCACTGGAAATAGCACTGGGGAAGAGCTGCTTCCTCTAAGTAGTGATGAGTGTGATGATGCGAATGGAATTAAGATTTGGGACCTTCATTTGCTGATGGGACACAACTCAAAATGAGGAGGAGCAGCTGAAAAGGCTCATTAATAATCAGAACATAGAACGTATTAAGTATGAATCTAGGAAGTTGTCAGAAATGAAATGGAATGTATAAAGAGCCATATCCTAGGCATTAGTGAGCTGAAATGAACTGGTATTGGCCATTCCGACCCATAGCGACCCCGTACAGGGTTTCTGAGGCTGTAAATCTTTACAGGAGCAGAACGCCTCATCTTTCTCCCGCGGAGCGGCTGGTAGTTTCGAACTGCTGGCCTTAAGCTTCGCAGCCCGATTCGTAACCACTCCGCTACCAGAGCTACTATGCCAGGAATGACAAAGTGAAGAGGAATGGCATCACCTTCACTGTCAGAAGTGGAGAAGTGCAGTGTGTACTGAAGGCACTGGCCAGGTAGAACGCTCCGGTACTGATGGACCACAGTGGGAAATCTCTCAACAAACTGATGGGGCACTGGAGGCACTCACTCACCTATGTCAAAAAATTGGGGAGACAGCTTCCTGGCCATCGGATTGACAGAGATCCATAATATTCCAAAGAGAGGTGACCCAATAAAATGCAGAAATCAGCGGACAGTATCATTAATATCAAATGCAAATAAAATTTTGCTAAAGACAGCTTTAAAATACTTGCAACAGTACATTGACAGGGAGCTGCCAGAGGTTCAAGCCGGATTCAGATGAGGACATGGAACCAGGGAGATCATTGCTGATGTCAGATGAATCTTGGCTGAAAGCACAGAATACCAGGAAGATGTTTACTTGTGCTTGATTGACTATGCAAAGGTTTTCAGCTGTGTGGACCATGACAAGGTATGGACCACATTTCGGAGAATGAGTATTCCAGAATACTTAATTGTGCTCAGGAGGAACCTGTACATAGACCAAGATGCAGTCATTCAGACAGAATAAGGGGACACTGAATGGTTTAAAATCAGGAAAGCTGTGGGCCAGGGTTGTATTCTTTCACCATACTTATTCAATCCACATCCTGAGCAAATAACCAGAGAAGTTGAATTATATGAAGAAGAACGTGCATCAGGATTGGAGGAAGACTCACCACTATGCTACCAAAGCTCCTTTGATTAAGTGGAGGAACAATAAAAAAGAGGGCGATCCTCAAGGAGACGGGTTGGCACAGTGGCAGCAACACTGGATCAACCGAAACAGTGATTATGAGGATGGCATAGAACCGGGTGGTGTTTCGTTCTGTTGTATATAGGGTCTCCATGGGTCCGAAGTGATTCAATGGCACCTATTAACAACAACAGAAGAGCTTTGAAACGTTGGCCAGACAGAGATCTGCCTGAGGGCACGGCAGGGGAGAGGTTATCCTGACTGGAGAATTGTGCCCTGAACACTTCTGACCCTGAATGTTAGCTTCCCTTATAAACCCGTAACTGTGCATATGGTGTCTAAGATCTGTGAGGCCACTGAAATGTATTATCGAACCCAGCTGAGTAGGGAGTGCAGTGGGAGGAATGTTTTGATAAGCACTGGACTGCTGATTGCAAGGTCAGTGGTTCAAACCTACCAGGCACTGCTGGAAATCTTATACAGGGATGAGGTTTGAAGGAACCAATATGAATCAGAACCAACTCAAACCAACAAACAAACACCACTAACAAAAGGAAGAATAGTCAATACCATTATTAATGAAATTGATGCATCAACCTCAAAAGCCAGTGATGATGAAACTGATGAATTCGGCCAACTTCTTCAGTCTGAAATTGATAAAACATGAAATCAAGATGCATTGACAATTACTGGTGATTAGAATGCCAAAGCTTGAAACAGAGAAAGGATCAGTAGTTGGAAAATATGGTCTTGGTGATGGAAATGATGTTGGACATTGCATGATGAAATTTTGCAAGACCAACTACTTATTTACTGCAAATAAATTGTTTTAAGCAACATAAAAGGCAACTGTATCCATGGACCATAGCTATTCATTGGACAACAATG